ACATTTCATATAATAATAGTTTTTTGATAATGAACTCCTTTAGTTTTTCTTGTCTGGAAAGCTCTTTATCAGCCCTTTGATTCTAAATGATAGCTTTGCTGGGTAGAGCAATCTTGGCTGTAGATTCCTGCTTTCCATGACTTGGAATATTTCTTGCCAGTCCCTTCTAGCCAATGAAGTTTCTTTTGAGAAACCAGCTGACTGTCTTATGGAGCTCCCTTGTAGCTAACTAACTGCTTTTCTCTTGCTGCTTTTAAGATTATCTCTGTATCTTTAACTTTTGGTATTTTAATATTATGTGTCTTTTTTAAGTATATCTTATTGAGTATGCTATTATAATTGTTCCATTTTTTCTCCCTTTTATCCCCCTTCACCCTGCATCCAACTCCCACTGGTATTTCTCACCACCCCTTAGTTCATGCGCATGGGTTGTACATATAAGTTATTGGGCTTCTCCATTTCCCATACCATTCTTAATAGCCCCATGTTTATTTTGTATCTACCAATTATGCTTCTTATTCCTTATACCTTTACCCCCTTCCCCTCTCCCCCTCCCCAATGATAACCTTCTATGTGATCACCATTTCTATGATTCTGTTCCTGTTCTAGTTGTTTGCTTAGTTTGTTTTTGTTATTGTTTTTTAGGTCCAGTTGTTGATAGTTGTGATTTTGTTGTCATTTTACTGTGTATAGTTTTGATCATTCTTTTTCTTAGATAAATCCCTTTAACATTTCATGTAATAAGGGCTTAGTGATAATGAACTCCTTTAACTTGACCTTATCTGGGAAGAACTTTGTCTGCCTTTCCATTCTAAATGAGAGCTTTGCTGGATAGTGATCTAGGTTGTAGGCCCTTACCTTTCATGACTTTGAATATGACTTCTTTCCAGTTGCTTCTTGCCTGTAAGGTGTTTTTGAGAAATCAGCTGGAAGTCTTATGGGAACTCCTTTGTAGGTAACTCTCTCCTTTTCTGTTACTGCTTTTAAGATTTTTTCTTTGTCTTTAATCTTAGATAATGTAATTATTATGTGTCTTCATGTGTTACTCCTTTGGTCCAATTTCTTTGGGACTCTCTGGGCTTCCTGGACTTCCTGGAAGTCTATTTCCTTCACCATATTGGAGAAGTTTTCCTTCACTATTTATTAAAATAAGTTTTCAATTTCTTGCTCTTCCTCTTCTCCTTCTGGCACCCCTATGATTTGGATGTTCCTAAGCCTCTCCTCATTTTTTTGAATGCTTGTTTCTTCATTCTGTTCTACATGAATGTTTATTTCTTCCTTCTGTTCCAAATCATTGATTTGAGTCCCAGTTTCCTTCTCTTCACTGTTGGTTCCCTGTATATTTTTCTTTATTTCACTTTCATGGACTTCATATCTTCCTTTATTTTATAGCTGTACTCAATCATTAGGATGTGAGTATCCTAATCACCACTGTTTTGAACTTTGCATCTGATAGGTTGGCTATCTCCTCCTCACTTAGTTCTTTTCCTGGAGTTTGACCTGTTCTTTCATTTGGGCCATATTTTTTGGTCATGGTGTACCTGTAGCATTGTAAGGGGTGGAGCCTTAGGTATTTATCAGAGTGGGACAACTCACTTTGCTTCATAGTGGCACTGTCTGTGGGGGAGGAGTCAGAGAGGGAATACTGCTGCTTGCTCAGCTCTCAATCCATTTTCAGTCCCTTCCCCCACCACCCACAAGTGAATGGTGCCCTTCCAGGTACTGCCTTGGTGCTGATTCTTGTGTGGGTGGGCTTGTGTACATTCTAGGACCCCACTGGTCCCTCAGATGGACTCTCCTGAGAGACTGGCTGTTTCTTCTGCTACCACAACTCCCACAGATTTTTACAGCCAGAGATTATGAGGCCTTATTTTTTCCTGTGATGGAACCCTGGGCTGTGTGGCCTATCTTGCTCCCTAGTTGTTCCTCCTGGCTTATCCACATGTGAACGTGGGACCACCCAGTCCACAGCCAATGGGTTGCCTGCCCAATCCATCTCCTTGCCACATGTCCTCTCCACCCCAGGTGCCTGTCTCTACCCCTCCTACCAATCTGGATGAATTTTTCTTCTTTAACTCCTTGGTTGTCAGACTTCCATACAGTTCTATTTTCTGGCAGTTCTGGTTGTTTTTTGTTTTTAATTTGTTGTTGTCCTTCTTCTGGTTGTGCAAGGAAGCAAAGGGCATTTACCTATGCATTTATCTTAGCCAGAAGTCCCCCCAAATGACCTTTCTTTTCTCCACTGAGGGAGAGAATTAGTCCTCACCAGGCCACAACCTCTCTGCAGTCATAGGAGGCCCAACTAATTATGATGTGTCTTGAAGTGGTCCTCTTTGCATCCATCTTGTTTGGGACTCTCTATGCTTCCTACTTGCATGTCTATTAACTTCACCAAATTAGGGAAGTTTTCTTTCATTATTTTCTCAGATTTTCAATTTCTTGTTCTTTCTCTTCTGACACACTTATGATGCGAATGTTGGACCACTTGAAGTTGTCCCAGAGGCTGCTTATACCATCCTCATTCTCTTTATTCTGTTTTCTTCTCAGTGTTCTGATTGGTTGTTTGTGGTTTTTTATGTTCCAAATCATTGATTTGATTCTCAGCTTCATCTAATCTACTGTGGTTTCCCTGTAATTGTTCTTTATTTCAATTAGTGTAACCTTAGTTTCTGACTAGCTCTTTTTTATGCTGTTGAGGTACTCACTAAGTTCCTTGAGCATCCTTATGACCAGTGTTTTGAAGTCTACATCTGACAGATTCCTTATCTCCATTTTGTTTATTTCTTTTTCTAGAGTTGTGATCTGTTCTTTCAATTGGGCCAAGTTTCTTTGCCTATTTATTTTGGCCACCTCCCTGTGTTTGTTACTATGTATTAGGTAGAGCTGCTATGATTCCTTGTCTTGGTAGCATGACCTAATGTAGCACATATTCTGTAGGGTCCACTGGCACATCATCCCCTATCAGCCAAGCTGGATACTTGAGGTGCACCCTTTGTGTGGGCTGTGAGTACACCCTCCTCTTGTAGTTCACCTTGGTTGCTGTTGGCAGGTCAATGGGAAGGATTTACTTAGGCTAGTCAGCTGCAAGGACTGTCTGTGACCAATAAACCCCACCCTCTGTGGAGGATCAGCTGTGCAGGGCAGGGTGTTGGTACTACAACATGGTCTGTAGCTGTTTGCTGGGTGTGCAGAGCTATGCAAATTCAGCTCCCACCTGTTTCTGCCCAGAGCTACCACGTATGAGCTAAAAGCAATCTGGGATGGCTGCTACTTACACTGGTTTTGGAGATTCTCAAGGAAAACCAAGCTGTCAATGTAAGCTGACTGCTGCTAGTGCCAGGTCTGGGGCCACTTAGCAAGAGGTACAGGGACTGGGGGCTCACTGAGGCCAGCTGTTGCTTGTTTAGGAGGAATTAGGAACTTGTGAAGCCTGGGCCAAGACCAGCCATTCATTCATCCAGAAAAGCCACCGTTAACAGCTTGGGTAGGCCCTTTATTTGTGTGGGACAAAGCTTCCAGAGATCTCCAGCGTTGGGCAAACAGTGTTAGCCAGGTTGATGGAGTCTCAGATATGATGCCTGCCTACCTGCTGGCTCTGTGGCTCTCAGGAGGAGGGGCTCACTCCAAAAAAGGATAATGGTGTCTTCCCACCTTTCTGTCTGGGAGAAGGCTGTCCATCAGCTCTGCCTTGATGTCATACACTTCAGCTCCTCCCTGTATGCCACTGGTTACTTTCATGTTGCTACCCCAGTGCGGGAACTCAGAGGGAGTGAGTCTAGTAAGTCCATTGTGAGTTCTTTAAGGGGCACTGCCTAGGACTCCAGAAGTTCTTTCACTGATTCAACCCCTGCCGGTTTTGCAGCTAGAAGTTATGAGGACTTATCTTCCTGGCACTGCAGCCCTGGACTGAGGGGCCTGGGTTGGGTCTGGGACTCCTCACTCCTGAGATATCCCTTCTGAATTTTTATCCATCCACACGTGGGTATGGTACCAGCCTGTTTTGCATCTCCTTTCCTCTTATTGGCCTGATGGGTATAGTTTCTTTAATTCCATTGTTGTTAGACTTCCATTCAACTCAGTTTCTGATGGTTCTGAGTGATGGTTGTTCTATAGTTTAGTTGTAATTTTGATGTGGTTGTGGGATGAGATGAGCCATGTTTTCCTGTGCCACCATCTTGACTGGAAGTTCAGGATGAGTTTCCTTGAGCGTAATTTTTTTTCATCTGTAAGAGACAGCTTGCTTGGATAGGCTCCAGGATTTTATTTTTCTGCTTTATTATTTAATTTTGTAATTTAAAAAAGCTGTTAGTACAATCTTTTTTTTTACTAAGTAATCTCTGTCATATAAAAATATTTAAAAGAACTGAAATTGTTGGACTTGTTTAACCCAACAAAGAGAAAATTTTCAGAGGGCAGAAGAAGTAGACAGATATAAAATATAAACTACCCTTATTTAAGATATAAAGTGTCCAGATATTTTTAAGGCTCCTATCACATGGATGAGAGGTTGAACTCAATCTTTTTGACCTCAAGGAATGTTAACTATAACCAATGAGGAGAATTTCTAGACTCCTGCCCTTTCTCATAAACATAACTTGCTTGCTATATAAGACAACAGAGTAACTTAGGCTCAATCAGATGATAGAACAGAAAACTTCTATGATTACTTTCAACTGTAAAATTCTTTGATTCTATAATAGACTAGTCTATATTACCTGTAAAGGAGATTCTATACTTAACGAGATTGAAAACCCTGGTTCAGAGGCATCAAATTGTAAGTAGCGCTTTAGTCATCAATCAATAAATGAAAAAGATATGGGCATGAGATAAAGAAGGGACATGAGACACCAAATTTCATTCTAGGAGATTCCAGAGTTCCCATTTCCTGTGAACACTGCCTTCTGTCTGCAATGGCCATGCCCGAAAAACAGGCGGGTTATGTGTGTTGAGACCAACATATGGACCACCTTAAGAACCTGACTGTTTCTCTCCTCTTTCAGATGTTCACCTCCACAATATTTGCTGTGATTGGATTCTTGGGTGCTGGGTACTCATTTATCATCTCAGCTGTCTCCATCAACAAGGGTCCTAAATGTAACCTGGGCAATGCCACGTGGGACTATCCCTTCCACAATGGGTAAAGTATACGCTGCAATGCCCACTTGCCATTACAAGGGGCACAGTCAGATAAATGGCCTAAGGAGAGAGACTGCACATATACTGTCACCTTAATTTACAAGTCTCAGCCATGTTGCTCTTTCAGGCAGAGCTGGAGTTGTGGACTGCAGTTAAGTTGAACAAGACCTCACCCCTAATCTCACCTCTAACTGCTGTTCTGACAGAGACCAGGAGCAATAATGAAAGAGGGCACCTCAGCTGGCCTGAGGGAAGGAGATTTGTGGTGTCCTCAATGACAACCAAAACTTATTAGCTGACACATGAGACAACTAATAATACTGATAGAGTATTGGGTTCCACTGCAAATCTTATAATAGAAAAGAAGAATGTCTACTCACTAACAGGGTGTGAAACCTTTCAATGCTTTGCTATAGTCTATAGCAAAGCATTTTTTAAGGTGCAAATTTACAGCAAATGGTTTCAGAAACATTAGAGATTCTCCATGAGATTTTATGTTAATAGAACTCATTAAAATCACTTCATATTTTCAAGGTACTTTGTAGTTTATAAATAACTTTCTTGTTTTCTTTTTTTAAAAATTTTATAATTTAATATCCATAACAACCCCAAAAGGTAATTTACTTCCTGCCAAGACAGGCATAATAAATTTGACTTGCTCCCAGTTGGCCCACTAGTTGTGGGCAGAGGCAGGATGTCCAGGCTCAGTCTTTCATGTTACACATTCTCTGCCTCTCCATTGCACTGTCCAATGCAGTCGCCAGTAGCCTTATGTAGCTATTTACATTAAATTGATTTCAGTGAAGTAAAATCTAAAACTCCTCAGTCACATTAGTCACCTTCCTAGTCCTCAGTGGCCACACGGGGCCGGTAGTGACTGTCCTGCAGATCACAGACAGAGGACAGCTCCGTGGATGCACACAGTCTGTCGGATGCTGCTGGGTAGCCTCTAACCTCTGCGAGGGCGGGGCCTTCCTGCTCTGTTCACCGCAGCAGCCCCTCTGCCCAGCACGGTCGCTGACAGATGTGGAGGGTCAGGAAAGGCGGGTGGTCCTCCTGCACGTGGAAGATGAGATCTTTGCTAGAAAAGCTATTGGATATCAATTTATTAACTGGAATCCATATTATTAACTTATAGTGAGAGGCTAAAGAACCTGAGGGTGGGATTCTGGCAGGGGATATGGTGGTAGTGGTTCTGTTATGATCTGAGGACTTGATGTGTTCACGAGTTTCACATGAAATATCATCCCCATCCTTCTCTATAGTTAATCAGGAATACAAGTCCTCCACTATCTTCATAACACAGTCAGGGCTACCTAAATTTATTACAAAGAGCCCTCTCATCTCACAGAGAACTGCTGGGGCCCCACTGCCATGGGAAGCCTTGTACTTTCATTTAACTTTAGGATAAGGTACCGGTGATAGGCATCAATGCAGCATTATATATAATTTTTTATTTATCTGTTACATGAATAATATCATCCTTGGTCAACTTAAAATCAATTAGAGTAAATCTGTATCCAAAACAAAGGAGGGAAAAAGGAAACACAACAGATGCCGAGCCACACATAAGGCAGCATGACATTCTCCTGTCTCTGACACAAGGCCACGTGTCCCCGGCACACCCGCACCTGCCAGTGATGCGATGGAACCGATGGCCTAGCTCATGAGAGTGACAGCTAATCTGTGGGCCAGCACAGGAAATGCCAGCTTGGGGGAAGGGCAGGAAACCAGCTTTCAAAGTACTTTGTGTTTGTCTTTCTGGCAAAGCAAGTTTTCAGTCTCATCACAACTATGTATTGCACATTATTCTGTGATAGACACTACTATATGTGTTATTTTATCTACTCCCCATGGCGACCAATTCATCCATTAATAGGTATTGGATTAGAGACTTTTAATAATTTTTTTAAATGAAGTAAATTTTTCAGGCAAGCAAGAACTTTTCAGAATTCTCTACTATCTCTGTTCACTGTATGGCTTTGTTAAGGCTCTGAGGGATGGATGTTCAAATACCTAAACATCCGCACAGTGACTTCAAATTATCATATGATCAAAAATTGCTATGTAGGGTTGTATTACCAAACTATATATACTATATTTTCCAGGTGATTTATAGGGTAAGAGTGGTTCTGACTATTCATGGTCTTCATGCCCTGACTTTAGAATTTAATCTCACATAAGGTGCAAGTCCACTCTCTGCTCAAGGAGAGACGTGACCCGAGTGGTAAAGGAAGGCTTTCAGGAGGGCGGGTCCAGGCAGATTGCTTCTCACTGTGTCCTTTGCCACCTGAAATACTTTCTCAGTGTTCCACTGTCTTCTATGTCCTATGGTCTATCTTCTGAGACAAGAGCTCACATTCCTTTTTGACTGAATCTCCCAATGCCAGCTCCAAACCTTGCCTCAGACTGCAGAGGTCCATTTGCATTTCAGTTAGCAAAGTGCTTTCACCTACAAGGTTTTATTTGATACTCTCAAAAAAGCTTGTGAGATTTTAACTGTCCTTCAGAGGAAACAGCTGAGGCCTGTAGAGTTGACAAGTAATTCACCCAAAAGAATACCAGTTCATAATGACTGGAGCTTGAACCAAAGTTTTCTGACTCCAAGTCACAATGCTTTATCTTTTTAAAAAAGTTATTTATTTATTTACTTATTTACTTATTTATTTTTAAAGAGAGGGGAAGGAAGAACAGAGGGAGAGAAACATCGATGTGCAAGAGAAACATATATCAGTTGCCTCTTGCATGTGCCCCAATCGGAGACCAAACCCGCAACCTAGGCATGTGCCCTGATAGGAAATCAAACCAGTGACTTTTTGCTTTGTAGGATGACTGGTCCTGAACCAGTCAAGGCACAGTGTGTTATCTTGACCACAATTCACACTGATTGGCACTATCTGCTTTTTGTATAGCTCCCACCTAGCAAAGCTCCAGTCTGTTTTACTAGACCATGGAATTTTCTTATCCATCAGATCCCAGTGTATGAGCATCGCAGCAGTCAGCACCATAGCTGCAATCCTAACACGCATGCACAGCTGCTTCAGAAGTAGAAAAGAGTAGTTACTGTACAAGCCCAAATAAAAGGACTCAAAACAGTTGCCACTCTTTCCTCATCACCAAATAGCAGCAATGACAGCTGCTTCTCCCTCCTCTTCCTCCTTCTCCTCCTGTTAATGATTAAGGGCTAAGTATTTTACATGAATTATCTAATTGATCTTCCTAATAAATATGAATCTGAGAAGAATTCTTATCCCTGAAGTAGAAAAATAAAGTTCAAGAGGCTAATTTGCTGAGGGCTCCCTAACTAGTAATTAGTAGAAGGAGAATTAATAAACAGACAAAATAAAAACACTTGGCAATACCCTACTTTGGTCTGAAGTTTGTCCCAACATACGAAGGAAGACAGACATACTCCCCACCTCCGCGAGCACCAGGTGACAACACAGGCCAGAGCTTCACAATGCAGAAAGGGATGAAATGAAGGGGTGCAAGAAACACTTCCTCAAGGCAGTGACATGGGCTGGTTTCGGAAGATGAGAAGTGTGCCCTCCAGGAGGGAATGGGCATGCATTTCAGAGAGAAGAACAAGCCCTGAAGCAAAGAAAAGGCCCGACATGCTCAGAGAATGGCTGGAATTTCAGGGTGAATGTGAAGGAGCGGAAGAAAAGGAGGCACCACTTGAAGGGGGTGAATGAGAGGCAGCCTGGACCATCAGGACACCAGGGAACAGCAGAGGACTTCAGGCAGGACACACCACTTGGGAGTTTCAGGATGATCATGCTGGTAGCAACATGGACAATGAACAGAAGGACTCTGTAACTGGACGTTGGACCAATAATCCAGATAAGATCATGAGCATCTGCAAGGCAGTGGAACTGGGGCTCAGATTTCAGAGACTCTGAGATGGAATCATCAGGATTTGGTGTGAGGGGGAGGTGATCAAGGTGCACTCAGATTTCCAGCTTGGGACCCAGGAACCACGGCTCTTAAGTAAGGCAGGATTTCACACTGTATTTCTCAGAAGTGTATATTGGTGATCATGTTAAAGGAGCAAAGACAGTTAACATCTCCTGTCATGAGAACAATACTAAAAAGGCATCCTAAAGAAGAAAAAGAAACTGAGATACTTTGAAATATGCTCTCTGGGCTTCCTTTGAAGTAAGATCTCCTCCCATCCAAGGTCTTCCTTTCTAAGACAATTGGCTACCTTTACCTTGACCTTGAGCTGCTGAAAAGGAAACAGCTTGCACAGGGCATGGGGACAGCTGTGGGAGGGAAAACTGGAGGAAAGGCCAAGGAAATTTAGCAGTGGGTGGAGGACAAGGGACATAGCCAAGCACAGCACTCCCTAGTCAGACTGTAGCCCTCCTTGGTCCCTGAGGAAGTGGTGAGGAGAGCATTCTCCCACCAAATCACAGAACTGAATTCAATTACATGATCATCCTGGACTTTCAGGTAATGCTATTTGCATTTGCACTTCAAAGATTACTTATGAGCAAGACACCTCATAAGCTGCTCATGAACACATGCCCTAGAGCCAAAAGACACACCCTCATCAGAAAGGTGAGATGGGACTACATCACCTGTTCCCAGCTTGCATGAAGCAGGGAAAACATACAGATGTTAAGAACTGCCTTTGCCCTAGGCCTGACTAGACTTAGGCTCCCGTCATACCTCAGCACATAACAATGATGTGACTTTGGGCCATGAATTTATGTCTCAGCTCTTTCTCCATAAAGAGGGGTAACAGAAAGGTCTACTTCACAGCTTCAGGCGAGAATGAAACAATATGATGTACGTAAAGCACTCAGCACAACGACTGCCATGTAGTGCTTGCTACACTTTCAACATCACTATCCATTTTTTATGAATACAACTCATTGCTACAAATGGAATTTCTTATTATGCATTAGAGCTTTCTAAAATGTTATGCTCCTATAATGATTTGTGATTTAATTTGAATATTGTCAAGCACTTACATGAAGACCCAAAGAGAATAATCTCTTTATCATGGTATAAATAAAACTTGATTGGCACACTATTATACATGTATTTATATTATTTCATCAATAAATCATATTTTAAATATACTAAGCAGACATAATTACTTAAATAGAGGGATTTGTAAAATAGTTAGGAGCATTGGCTTTCCACTCAGACAGACCTAAGGCTGAATCCAGACACTTCCATTTCCAGCCTCAACTTCTTTATCTCCACATGGTGTATGTTCATTCACTCAGTACCTATTTCCTGAAGGCGATTCCCTGACAGGCATCGTCCAAGGGGGGCAGCACCTCCTGGTCAGGCTGGGGAAGGTGATATAAAGCAGCTGCCCCAGAGCCCAGAACAGGGGCAGGTTGAGGTCCCTGAAAACTGCTGTTAGTTACTGAAACTGCCTGTGCTGGAACTGGGGACAGAGACAGGGGACATGCTCCTGCCCAAATGGCCAGATGGTGACACAGAGTGCTGAGAAGCACAGAAGGGGCACCGAAGGCAGCGGAGTGCAGGAGGAGCATCAGGAGCTGTGCTGGAGCAGGAGGTGGCACCTGGAGAAGCCAGACAGAGGGGCCAGGCTGAGCAGTCAGGCTCCCCTGATCCTTCAGCTGCAGGAAGTGAGTTGAGTGAAACACATGGCACTCCCTTCCAATGTTGATGGATCATGGCAGCTCAGGTGGAAATGCCATGTACAAGAACAGGATGCTTTAAAACTCTGACTCAGTCAGCTGGCTGTAAAGTGCCCCAGCTCCCCTTGCTTCACAGAATGAGGAAACAGGATTAGTCCCCAGGTCCATGAAATATGAGAGCTCTTCTCACTTGGGCTTGGAGGTTGGGCACAGCAGTCATTGCTGGGATGTCAGAGAGGCTCAGCATCTGGGAGTTAGGGGAGAGAAGAAGGACCTAGAACGGCCATCCGTGGTGGCTTGCGAGGGGTGAGGCAACAGCAGGAGTGGGACTGGGGATTGCTGCAGGCTCTAAACTCAATCTATGCTTCCAAGTTCCTCCTCTCCCCGCCCCAGCATTTACCAATCTCACCACCAGGGGGTGCTGTCATCCCAACACTGAACACCCTTCAGAAGAGGGAAAGAACTAAGCACTGCCAATCCCTTCATCTCAGGGTCGTTTCTTTACTAAATGTGTCTGGAAAATATTGTCTCTCTATGTAACTCCTTATCATCATCGTTTAAAAACTGTATAGCTAGATAGGACTGCAAGGGAAAATGCAGAACAGAAAGACGAGTGTTTAAAAAATAACAACTACTGGAATGAGTTCTTGCACAGCAATTCTTAAGTGGTATCATCTCAGTGAATTCTCACCATTGAGAGGTTCTTTTCAGCCTATTCCATAGATGAAGAAACCAATACCGCCTGGGGAAAGGGGTGGGGAGGGTGAGTAACTTGCATGAGGAATTCACAGCTAGTGAGAGGAGTGCTTGCACTCAAACCCATGCCCATTGAAATCCAAAATACCAGGTTCTGTCCTTTAGATCAGACAGCTCAGATTAAGTGACATTATAACAAGACCAATATTTATTGAGCACTTACTCTATGCCAGGCACTGTCCTAAGCACTTTCCTAGTGTGAACTCATTTAATCCTCACAGTAACTCTCTGATTTCATAGAGGATGTCATTCCCATTTTACAGGTAAGTCACACAGCTAGTGCACAGCTAGAACCTGTGCTCCTGTGGAAAGGTGAATCAATGCTATAAACAGTCTTTTATTTTTAAATCAGGAACAAATGCTCGTTTCTTTGTTCCTTTGATTCTGTTAAGAGACAGGGCATCTTCCATCACTGTAAAGATTTTTCAAATGTCAACACAGAGCATATTTAAATAAGTGTGTACTGATTACTAAAGAGTTTATCAGAAACAGAGTCATGAAAAAGATCTGAAAACAATAGGTGGGTGTTGATGTAGTAGCCATCTGCAGACAGATGTTCCCATTGAAGCCTTGAGAGGATAGAGAGGAATAAGGAAACAGTTGTGACCAATTTGTGGCTCTAGAATGTGAGAAGCAATAATAATGAGCCAAAAGACTGACCCACTCCCTGTGCTTTTTGTTGAAGACGGCATAGTGCACATTTCTCCTTCATAGCATGATGCCCTTTATATGCAGTGGACTCCTAATACGCAGAATTCATAAATATATTGCAGTGCTCCTATTTCAAAGGTTTTGTAAAATACATATTAAGGCAGCAGATCATTTAGTGATTTTTATTAATTAAATATTTTTGTATGTGGAATTCCCACATGTAAACAAAATATAATTGAGTCAAATTAAAAATTTAGCTATAAGATCTTTAAAAAAATCAAGCTCTTCCTTTTAACTGTATGACACAATTGTACTTTACATGGCTTCAGATGACCAGTAGATGTGACAGAATTTTGTCAAATGTCCACGTGGTCCCGAATGACAATAGGTGGGATGAAGCCCAGTAACATTTGTGTCTTCATTTTCCCAGCTCCCTATTAAGTATTGAATTTACCCATTCTCTTGATCAGCTCACAAGAATCACTCTGTAACACGTAGCTATGAGACCTAGGGGCAAGACACTTAACCTCTCTGTGCCTCCATGTCTTTATTTGTGAAACAGAAGAGATACATAAGGTTTCTTCCTTCTTCTTTTTACTGAAGAGAGAGAGAGATTTGTTGTTCCACTTATTTATGCATTCATTGGGTGATTCTTCTATGTGCCATGACTGGGGATCAAACCCACAACCTTGACATATCGGGACAACACTCTCATCAACTGAGCTACCCAGCCAGGGCCAAGAACCATAAGGTTTCTATAAGACATAAAAGAGTGAATATGTGTAAAATGTTTGGAACAGGGTCTAACACATAGTATAGAGTCTATAAAAATATTAGGTATTGTTTTTTAAAAAGTGTTGTTATGGGATTTTTTTTTTCTTATTGAGCTTATGTTTTTGGATGGAAAGTATTACCAAAAAAATTATTATAGTAACTTTGTAGTCTAGGGTATTGCCTATGTTTTATAGATGTCTCCTTTCCACCCCATGCTCCTGACAGGGATTACCTCGCTGACAAATCCTTATGGAAAAAGTGCATGGAGCCTGAGAATGTGATTCCCTGGAATTTGACCCTCTTCTCCATCCTGCTGGTCATAGCAGTGATCCAGATGATTCTCTGCATCATCCAGGTGGTCAATGGCCTCCTGGGGACCCTGTGTGGAGACTGCCAGTGTTGTGGCTGCTGTGGGGTAAGCTGAGGTCTTGGTCCTTACTTTTCAGGATGGGTGAGACGAGGCTGGCCTGCAGTGCTAGTGGAATGACATGGTGCAGAAGTGGCAGCTACAGAAAACCAGAGCCAGGCTGAAGAGTCCAGGCAGCCCCCTCTGCCAATACAGGGAAACAGTGACATGGTATTCCTGGAGCCCAGAAATTCTCTCTGTGCACATTAACAAATCCAGGTTGAAGTTGAGCAAAATTTTTAGTCTCTCACCCAGTTGACCATAGTCCTGGAGGCAAAGGACTGCATATACATACAGAAATTTACAAAATGTTACGTGAAAATCCCCAAGGAGTGAGCATTTGTCATATGCACATATTGCCAACAGTAACACATCATTGTCTGGCCAGAAATGTTCTCATTATTTCCTGACTAGAGCTACATGGTGGGTTAAAGTTATCAATATATGAAACACACTTCAGGGTATTTTTTTTTCTCCAACCAAAGTATTAGATGATAGTTGTTTGTGGGTAAGAAGACTTTCATTTTTCTTTCTTTCCACTTTATATTATTCAAATAAGGTTTAACAATTATATATTTTAAAATATAAAAAAGTATCCCTAGCCAAGTAGCTCAGTTGGTTAAAGCATTGTCCTGGTATGTCAAGGTTGCAGTTTTGATCTCCACTCAGGGCACATACACGAATCAACTAATGAATGCTTAAGTAAGTGGAACAATGAATCAGTATTTCTCCCCCCTTATTCTTCCTCTCCCTCCTTCTCCCCTCTTCCTCCTCCTTCTTCTTCTTCTCCTTCCTCCTCTTCTTCTTCTTCTTCTTCTCCTCCTCCTCCTCTCTATTTCTCAAAAAATAGTAAATAAAAATAAAATAAAATATAAAAAGTATAAACAAAAAGTTCAAAAATCTACCATAAAAATGCATGTCTTCCAAATAAATTTTACTGAGTATTGGCTTTATTGCTATACATTTTCAATTCTATTGCATTGTATTTAAATTTTTTGGTCAATAAACACAATTGGAGAGAAAAGAAAACTACCAATTATTCATCAAATTATTTTTAGGATTCAGTAAGAATATTGAGCATTTGAAGCTTGTGATTCCTCTTAAATGAATTCTTGCTTTCTAAATCAGGCAATTCATTTCAAACACTGATGTTATTTCTTTGTTTTTCTTTCACAGAAGACAGTTACACTTTTTAGTTAGGTAGCAAATTTTCATTGCAAGGTTTATTGGAAATAAAACTGCTCTTTGAATATAAAACAGTTTAATAAATCTGAGGATTATCTATAAATTTAAAAACATACCTGTAAATGTTAGTACATTGATTCTTTTCAGTGAGTGTCATATATTCAGGTACCATATTTGAACTATTTTAATGAATACATCATTTGATAGTCAAAAGACAGTGAATGGTGAATGAACCCTGCTGGAATTCTCTTCCTTCTTTCCTTCCTTCCTTCCTTGTAGGAGATCATTCTGCGTGGCATGGGCCCAGCTCCCACTCAGAGATGCCCAGGACCCACGCCCATGGATAGGTTCTCCCATAGGGAATCAGGCCTGAAATGTACCTAGGCTGCTTTGAGTCTTGCTTTTTGCTAAAACTCCCTCACCCTGAATTGAGGACAGTTACTGCAAAGTAACTTCCTAAAATCCATGCTAAACCTTCCAAGGATAAATGTAACCAGTTCAACCACTTTTGCCTTTTCATTTGCCAATATCCCATATCCCTCTTCTGTGATGTGATTAGCGGCATTGGCTCCTTTGTTTTCTGTAAAAGGTAACCTAAAGCAAAACTGTGCATACTAAATGAGGACCATCATGTAATGTGCCCAGAGATAGAAAGAAAGGCCTGTCATGGTCGAGGCCACGGCTTTTGCTCCCCTTCAGAGAAAAGCCATGTGTCCATTTTCCTCCACCAGACTTGGTAGTCTGTGTGAATGTCTCATTTCATCCATAATGACTTGGACAATGTGGGCTGGTGTCTGCATCCCTCCCTCCCTCCCTCCCTTCCTTCCTTCCTTCCTTCCTTCCTTCCTTCCTTCCTTCCTTCCTTCCTTCTTTCCTTCCTTCCCTTTTTATTTGGAAAACTTCAAATCTGTGTAAAATTTAAAAGAACAGTACAATGAACACCTGTAAGTTTTCACCTAGATATATAAGTTGTTCATATCTGCTCACCCTCTCTTTTTTAACCATTGGAAAATAATTTGCAGATATCCAGAAACTTCACTACTACATATTTCAGTGCATATTAGACCTGCATTTTTAAAAACTCAGTCTGGTGAGAATTCCTTTTTTGTTGCCAGCTTGCCTCTTATAAAGCGGGTCAGCATTCCTCTCCCAGGAGGACACTGTGGAAAGATGTGGGCTCTCAACAGTTTTTTTAATAGCTGAGTTACCCTAGCAAGCTTCCTAACTTCTCAGAGTCATAGTTACCCCAACCACTTTTGCCCAACTTCTGTACAGAGTGAGTAGATCAGCATTCATTCATTCAGACAGAAAAACATTTATGGAGAAGTTCCTCAGCATGACACAATCCTTGAATGAGGTAATAGACAAAAATGTTCTTTAAATTCAAACTATGACCTAGGATGAATGTCAGCTGTGCAGTCTTGGCCAAGTCAGTTGCCCTCGCCTGTTTCTTTGTAAAATGTTATTGTTAAACCAACTTTCTAAGGGTTGCTGACTGAGTATCTAACATGGGGTGATTAACATACATTCATTTGAACAGTTAGAAGGCTCAGTACTTTGTACTGATTGTTATTTACTAAGAGCATGAAAAACAGTGAGGCAGCATAACTTTCAGAAAAGAACACAATCTCTGGGTTAAACCTCCATGGGTTCAAATCCTGGCTCCTCTGCTTTGCTGAGGTTTTGGAGACATCGCTTGAGTTCTCTGTGCCTCTTACAGAAATTATTTTTAATAATAAATGATGCATAATAAATTGAAGCTTAAATTCCTATAACCAAAATGCAGTTAAGATACAGATTAAAGCTCTGAAAAAAAGTCAAAATAAATAGTATAGAAAACATTCCAGAAGTGACAAATAAGGGAAGGGAGGAGGGAAGGAAAATGTAAAAAAAAAAGTCATAATTAATTAATTTTTTCTACTTTCTAGGGAGATGGACCAGTTTAAACCACTCCGATGACCTTCTCTAACTCAATGGCATATGGAAAGACACCTTAAACTTAACTTTTTCTCCTTGTAGTTGTCAGTTTCTATCTGTGCCCAAACTGTCAAAGCTTAGGAAGGGCACAGTTATTCCTTCTCCTTTCCAACCAGCTTAGCTCCACTTTGAGTTTTATGTTAGTTTCAAAAAAAGAAAACAGGTTGTCCACTTAAGTTAGATTTGTAAATCTTTTAAATTAGCTTCCTTTTAGGATTGAAGAGCAGGTAAAAAGCTTGTTTTTCACAATTTTTTCTTTAAGAATGAAAAATGGATGTCACATGTACCACCACACTGCTTTTTGTATAAACAGGTGTTTATGTCTCTGAAAGTTTTCTATAATTCAGAGGAAGGAAGAATATGAAAAGTCAGAAACTGAGACCAGTTTTTGTTGTCAAAATTTATGGGAAAAAAGTGACTGGTGTGTCATAAATAATTTTTTATTTTTTTCTAACATGTTTGAATTGATTATGACTACCCTTTGAGTAAGAATTTCCTTATATATATTAAATTAAAATCATGATTCAGTGGTAATATAATAAAGGTGGTGTGTGTTTTGTGAAAGAGGGGCAGAAGGAATGAATAAAACCCACTTTTTACCTCTCTACAAATGCTGTCTTTCATCAAACATAAAACAATGTTGTTATGGTTGATTTTGGTAATTACTTGTCAGCCTATGGCTCTGGATTAATGTAATAGGTATAATTCTATGTGTTATATTATGACATTAACTTTGGTTGTATGAGTCAGGCACTAATAGGGAGTTAAATCCACAGTGTTTACATTCAAACCCCAGCTGCACCACATACCAGCTAGGGACCCTGGGAAGTTACTTTCTCAGTCTCCATTTCCCCATCTGTAAAAGAGTATTAATAGGCAATCAACCACCCAGAAAATGTTGAAGTCCCCCAAGGGTGAAACAAAGAGGCCTGTGGGGTTGGTCACATGACTCAGGTACAATAAGGAGAACCCCAGAGGCAGTTCCAAGCCAGTGAATCTCACCTCTGCACCTGCTGAGCTGATGGACCACACCATGTAAGTTAGACACACTGACAGCTAGGTTTCTAATAGTTATTAATAAGGCAATTCCCAATCTCCACCGAGTGCTGGCCCCTGAGGGACTGCCACTGAAGGCAAGGAGTTGCATGTCTTTTGATTTTGTCCTTACTACCTACCATGAGAACTCTGAGATCACAGATCAAATCTGGCACTTAACAGGGAAAAGGAAGAAAAGCAGTCATGCCACTGGTTCTCAAACATGGCTGATCATCAGAATCACCCAGGAAATGGTCTAAAACTGAATCCTGAGCCCCAGCATAGACCTAATGCATCTGAAAATTGAGGCATGAGGCATGAAGCCTATCTTTTGTCCATTACTTAGCTTTTAAAGCTCACCAGGGAATGCTAAAAACCAGCCACTTTGAGCAACCATTGATAGACCACAGACTGGCAGGCACTAAGAATGAAAAGGAGTCAGAGAGCATTGGGAACTCACACTGTAATGATTAATATTAACACAATGTAGTGTATGCCAAATCCTAAAGGGAAGCACAGGTAATTATGTGCCCAGAGGTTCAGAGATGTTAATTAGGACTGATCCACCTACCTAAGTTCTTTGATGAATAAATAAGAATGTGGGTAAGAGGCATCAATTCCTTATTTAGGAATTTTCATTGATTCAGATATTATTTTTTTCCTTTTAAATTATATTTTCTTGATTATGCTGTTATAGTTGTCACAATTTTTCCCCCATTACCTCCCCCAGTGAGCAACCTCCATTCCCTCAGGCAATCCTCACATCATTGTTCATGTCCGTGGGTCATTCATATAAGTTCCTTGGCTACTCCATTTCCTACACTGTACTTTACATTCCCATGACTATTTTGTGAATACTTACTTCTTATACTTCTTGTACTTCTTAATTCTTTCACCTCTCCACCCATTTCCTCAAAACCCCATCCCATCTAGCAACCATCAAAATGCTCTCCAATGATTCTGTCTCTGCTTCATTTCTTAGTTTATTTTTTAGATTTAATTGTTGATGATTATGTATTTATTGCCATTTTATTCTTCATAGTTTTGATCTTCTTTTCTTAAATAAGTCCCCTTAGTATTTCATATAATAATGATTTGGGATGATGAACTTCTTTAGGTTTTTTGTTTGTTTGTTTATTTGTTTGTTTGTTTTGGTCTGGGTAGCTCTTTATCAGTCCTTCAATTCTAAGAGATAGCTTTGCTGGGTAGAACAATCTTGGCTATAGGTCCCTGCTTCTCATGACTTGGACTATTTCTTGCCAATTCCTTCTACTCAACAAAGTTTCTTTAGAGAAATTAGCTGACAATCTCATGGGAACTGCCCTGTATGTAACTAACTACATTTTTCTTGCTGCTTTTAAGATTCTCTTTATCATTTGACATTTTAATTATGATGTGTCTTGGAGTGGGCCTGTTTGCATCCATCTTGTTTGGGACTCTCTGTGCTTCCTGGACTTGCATGCCTGCTTCCTTCATCAAATTAGGGAAAGTTTCTTCCATTATTTTTTCAGTTAGATTTCCAATTTCTTGCTCTTTCTTTTATGGAACCCTTATGATGTGAATTTTGGAATGTTTGAAGTTGTCCCAGAGGCTCCTTGGTTTTGGGGGGGTTCTTTTTTCTCCTTGTTGTTCTGATTGGTTGTTTAATCTTCCTTGTGTTCTATATCATTGACTTGATTCTCAGCTTCATCCATTCTACTGTTGATTCCCTATAAAATGTTCTTTATTCCCACTAGTATATCCTTCATTTCTGCCTGGATCTTTTTTATGTTGTTGAGGTATTCACTGAGTTCCTTGAGAACCCTTGTAACCAGTGTTTTGAATTGTGCATCTGATAAATTAGTTATCTCCATTTTGTTTAATTCTTTTTCTAGAGTTTTGATCTTTCTTCCATTTAGGCCATGTTTCTTTTTATGCTCATTTTGGCAGCCTCCCTGTGCTGTTTCTATGTATTAGGTAGAGCTTCTATGACTCCCTAGCTAGGTTGTGTGGCCTAATATAGTAGGTGTCCAGTAGGGTCCAGTGGCACAACCTTCCCTATAAACTGATCTGGGCACTCAAGGTGTGTCCTCCATGTGGGGTGAGTAAACACTCCTCTTATAGTTTAGACTTGATTGCTATTGGCAGACCACTGAGAGGGATTTACCCAGGACAGTCAGCTGCAAGGACTGGCTCTGACACTACCAACCTCTGCCCTCTGTGGAGAATCAGCTGTGCAGCGGCAGAGTGGTGGTGCTTCAACATGGTCTGTAACCACTGAGTGCACAGGCTCAGGGTTTCCCAGGAGGTGGAGGCCAAATTCAGCTCCCATCTGTGTTCTGCACAGGCCTACCTACCATGAGCTACAAAGCAATCTACAGATGGCTGCTGCTTGTTCTAGGCTTGGAGATTCCCAGGCAAACTCAAACTGTGATCCAAAGCTAGCTGCTGCTAGTTCCAGGCCTGGGGCCACTTAGAAAAAGGTCTGGGGGCTGGGGGCTCACTGAGGCTGGTTGATGCTTATTTGAGAGGATTTAGGAAGTTGTAAAGCCTGAGATGAGACCAGCCATTCATATGGAAAAGCCACTGTTAACAGATTGGGTGTGCCATAGGTTTCGTGGGGCAAAGCCTCAGGAATTCCCCAGGGCAGAGCAAACCATGTGAGCCAGACTGATGGAGTTTCACATATGACACCCATCTGCTGGCTTTGTGGCTCTGTTGTGGGGGAGTGGGGAGGGGATCCTCAGAAAAGCAACAATGGCCTCTGCCCACCATTCTGTCTGGGAGAAATCTGTCCCCTAGCTCTCTCTGTGATGTCAGACACTTCAGTTCCTCCCTTTATGCCACTGGTACCTTTCAAGCTGCTATTCCAGTGCTGGAGCTCCGAGGGAGTGAGTCTGAGTAAGTTTGTGTGTGAGCCCTTTAAGAGGCGCTGCTTGGTACTCCAGCAGTTCCTTTACCAACTCAAACCCTTCTGGCTTTTACAGCTAGAAGTTATGGGGCTAATCATTCTGGCACTGGACCCTGGGCTGGAGGGCCTGGTATAGGGCTGGGACCCCTCACTCTTGAGAAAAATTTCCTCTACCACACGTGGGTATGAGACCAGCCCATATCTCCACGTCTCCATATCTCCATGTCTGCATATCTCTTACCAGTTTGGATGAATGCACTTTTTAGTCCATAGTTTTTGGACTTCCATTCAACTCCATTTCTGATGGTTCTGAGTAATGGTTGTTCTGTAGTTAAGTTGTAATTTTTATGTGGGTGTATGAGGAGGCACACCTTCATCTTGACCCAGTGATTCAGGTTTTAGAAATGAAGGTTTGTTCATCATCAAATTCAGTCTCATTATTTTATAAAGAAGTAAAACATGTCTTTGAAAAGTTTGCACACAAAGACCCATTTTTCAAATTTAATTACCATAAAAATAGGGAATAAAACTTACCATGGATAAGAGAACTTAACAAGAAAAGGCAGGAAATAACAGGTATAGTCGAATGGGTCCCTTCCTTTGTAGATTATCCTCTACAAACACACACACGACCCAAGGTTGGTAATAAAACTGTCCAGAAACTTCACATATGTGAGCTGCTAACTTTGCATTGCTTTATTGTTAACATGACTTTTTTCTCTACATTTTGGAGTACAAAATCACAAGGAAAGGACAGTATCTGATATGAGGCTGCACCCCAGTGCCTAACAAAAGAGCTGGCATGTAGGAGGCAGTCCATAGATTTGTTGTATCAGTGGAGGTGCCCAGAGCTGACTCCCCTTTCTCCTGCATCCTCAGACTGAATAAGGTAGTGTCCCTGGCCCTGAAATAAACTGTAGGAAGATTTCCAAAGTAAGTAACCAAAACAAAAAAAGAAGTAGAAAGTAGGCATCTAAACTACACATTGAAAAGGAGCTAAAATGATCTCATAGAACCATAACAGATCCCCGAGTATAAAAGTTGAACTGTATTTCCTCTAAGTGCAATAGTTCCTGACTTTGGGCACTGGACTTTAACCTGGGCAGATTGTAGGGCTTCCCCTCTGCCTCAGCATTCCACTGGGCTCATGAGCTCAAGGCCCAAAGCCTACCTGGTAGGTGCCTCCCAGGAATTGAGGTCAGCTCTGCTCTGAGCATCTTAAGGAAGGCATGAGGACTCTGGAGATCTCCAGAGAAAGACAAACTAACAAACAGAACACAGATTAATATTCTAGCTATGACATCATAATAATCCAGTAGACAAAAACTCAGGTGGCAGAAGGATATGACTGAGGACTTTGTGTTGATCTCCTATAAAGGGCACATAAAGTGCACACAAATTAGTCAACAAATCATGGGTAACTGTCTTGGCACACACCTGTAAATGCAGGAGAGAGAACTCTAGCATATAGTATAGTCTACGGTGTGCATTCATCCAAAAGGTGAGACAGGACCAAAGACAGATGAGGTGAAGGAGGTGAAAGAGGAAGAAGAGTGGAAGGAAGAAAAAATAAGTCCAGGATTTAGAACAATTCATGGGAAAGGATCACTAATT